ATGTACAGTTTGTGTCCATTGCCCTTCTAAGATGATTCTTTACTGGATAACAATGTAGAAGTTTGTAGCAGATTTCCCTTTGCTTGTTGTTAATGAGATATTTGTGAGTTAATGTCTGTACATTTTTCCATAGAATATTGTCAATAGAGTTCGGCTGCTAACAGCGCGCGAGTAGGGCTCCGTTTGGGAGGTGCGCTTGTGGTGATAGTCACTCTTTTTCTGCGGCGATTCAAAAAGACAAGTAAGTTCCTTTTGAAAAGTTTTTGAAAGTTTGATGTGCAGCGTCTTCACTCACGCCTGCTCAAGTCGCCGTCTTCAGCCCTGTCCTGCTGCTTCCCCAGTTTAGGCTCCTGACTCCACGGCAGGGGTAACCCTGTCGTCATATCACTGAATACATCTCAGAACATCTAATAAACAAAATATGAACTAAAATGTGTTAAATTAATACTATTGAGTTTGGAAAAATATCAGAATAAATTTATGTTTTTTGACTATTTTGGACTATTTTTTCTTTCCCAAATATTGGTGGTGACATGTCCCACTGTCCCTATGCAAACCTACGCCCTTGTTAAATAGAGATTGGCAACTCTGGGGCTAAAATAATCCAAATGATTTTAGTGAAGGTGTGGAGTTTAAAAAGACAGTGGAGCACTTCCTGTGTTACAGCATAACATCACAAGGTGGAAGTGTGGAACTTAAAAATATGCAGGCTTTGTGTGTTAAACATGTGAATGAAACAAAAAGTAACAGGTATGTTTGTGATCAGGAAACATTTTAACATAGTTCAGAAAATAGTGTAATATGAGTCCTTTAAAAGTGAAGGTAAAGACTCTGGTCTGAGAAGCTAATCTGAATCTGTTTAAGTCATAAATTCACATTTTTGTGTTTTTCTATTAAGGCTTTCCTGCAGCTATTCAGTCTGCTCTTATGAGTCATTTTGTTGTGAAACGCTGCTCCTCTCTCTCTCATCTCCGTGCCGACCCAACATAAACAAAAGTGTTTGGGAGAATTACAATGAGTAATGGTTCAGAACTAAAGCCCTCATAAGCCCTACACTTCCACTTTACTGTTGCATCTCTTCATGGTCAAAAGCCTTTTAGCAATTGCAATACATAGCATATTAGGCCAAGATTGTGACTTCTTTAGATGGGAGAGGCAATCTGAGTTTCAAAATGTATTAGTTTATTGACAAATGTTTCTTACAAAGTCAAACAAAAGAGAACAATACACGAAATACAGACAAATATAAAAACAGAAGGAACCCCTGATGTTGTTTGATGATTTAAGCTATTCATGATTAAACTGTATGTCTCTAAACACTGATTGATATTGATGTGTGTAGGTTGGCTGGACAGTTGTTGGGTTATGTGTCTTCCTCAACAGCACAGATTTGCAACAGCAGTGAAGGGATTTGAACAGTAATTTGTCTAATAGGCAATGCTAATTTTTAGGTTGTGTATAAGTCCTATATTTCATAAAATTGACTCTTGTGAGCTTTAAGCCATGTTAGAATGAATTACCTTATCAAAAACATACCTGGAGTTGCATTATTCGTCTGTTTACACCTCCAAACTCAAGATTTTATTCAGTAGAGATGGTCAGTTCCAGGGCTGAAACCATCCAAGTGATTAATGAAGGTGTATGCGGTGTGAAAACAAAACACAACTCCAGGTATGTTTTTGATCATAACATGATAACATAGATTTTAAAAATGCCCTTAGTAACTTCTCTGGCAGAGGATGTGCTACTGACTGCTTTGCCTGTGCAGCAGACAAACAGGTGTTGCTACCAGATCAACTTGGAACTCGGAGATGACCCGACTAACAATAAGAATGCTATTCTTCAAGGTATTTTTGAGCATTAAAGACATATGTTGTAATGATATAAATGCAAGATAATTACAATAGTCTTTTCATATACTCTAAAGAAGGATGACACCCGTGCATTTTTCACACTGGTTGGATGGGTTCACATCATGCATATTCTAGTGTTTTCCATGTTTATGAAGCCCTGTGCTACTTACACGACACAATCTGCCATGTCGAGTAGAACAAAACAGTGGAGCCGTGAGCTGTACACAGGACATGTTTAAATCCTCATTTATGCTCTCCAGACTGCACTGTTTATTGAAACATCATAAACCTATGCAGTGAGCAGCTTTCATACTGCAAAAAACTACATGAGATCAAATCATCAAGTCACATACAGAATATTATGGTGATGTGGGTTTTGAGCACTTGTGAAAGGTTTAGATTAATTCAGTTAACTGGTCCAGGTTTCTGGATAGTATTCTACAGAAGCCCTGAGCTGCAAGTAAAAAAAAAAAAAAAAAAAAAAAAGAAAGAAAACAAAAACAAACAAAAAAAACCTTTGCCTTCCAGGCAAAATAGTAACATATCCATGGAGACAAGCAGTCAGTGAACCCTCCACCTTTAATTATGAGGTCTTGACTTTTACAAAGAGTATTTACTATATTTTTTAAGTAACTTAATGTTGACTTATTGTGTGCATTTTTAGCATTTTCTTATGACGAAAAAAAATCTTGCCTTTTTTGTTTGTTTTGTTGTTGTTTGTTTGTTTTTGCACCAACAACTCAAGAAAATGTTTGTTTCTTGTCATTATTTTGTACTGTTGATGTGGCTGATGAAAACAAATAAATAAATAAATCAAACACTCCAGAGTTTAAGTGTTTTCCCAGTATAATTGTTTAAATTAAGGGCCACAGTAGCTCAGTTAGCTCAGCTGAAAATGTTAAAAATGCACACAATAAGTCAAAAACATTAAGTCGACTTTGAAAATGCAGTAAATACTCTTTGTAAAAGTCAAGATCTCATAATTAAAGGTGGAGGGTTCACAGTCTGCTTGTCTCCATGGATATGTTACTGTTTTGCCTGGAATGTTCCACAGTAAGGCATTAAAACCACCCGATCAATGTCTTTATTCTGTCACTGTCAGAATACATGTTTTTCAAAGGTCTTTATGAGCAACACACATACTGAATAAATTCTAGTCACACATGTCATAATGCCATACTGTGGAACATTCTACACAAAGTAATCATATCTCCGAGGAGAAGAGCACACCATCCATCAGAAAAGTGCAGCTTTAAATAACTTATCAAAAGTACTAAAAAGACACATTTTCTGAGTACAAGTCATTTTAAATTTAGAATGAACTGTTGAACCACGACAGAGAAATAAGTGTCTGGGCAGTCAAAGGCAGTTGCTTCCATAAAGTCCTCATGTAATAACTTCTCTGATTCTATAAAGTTGTCTGGCATCCAGTCTACATTTTCCTCAAATAGCTGCTTTTATGATCATTTTTATGTTGTAAAAGTCGCGTTCTGAACCAAAAGAAATCAAATTCATGTACAAGCTCTTAAACTTATGTATTATATTACGTTTTAGCAGAGCAGTCTCTCCGGCACAGTTCATAACCTAAATAAGTACACGAGAAGGGGCCATGATAGCGCTGAGAAATTAGTAACGACATTAGAAAATCATTTAATTTTGGACTTAACCGCTATATCCTCCTACGTACACATTGGCTATGGTAGGGTGACGTGATTTCAGCTGACACCAACAAATGCTGCTTTGATCTGTTGATGGAGAAGCAAACTCAGAGTTCTTAATCCAGTTCAAGCGGACATTTATCTGCTCGTCACTTATCAGCAGGGCCTCTGTAACAGCCGCTACGCTCTAATTAATTAAGCCAGTGTGGGTTGATGAAACTCTTTCAACTACTTGCTATAGGAGAGCTTGGGAGATATGTGGTTTTTCTATAAATTGAGCTACAATTTTCAACAAAGACAACAGGATGATTTTGAAAAAAGAAAGTTGGCATAGTTAGCATATGCGTTTACGTCACCAAAAGAGATAGGAATTCATTGTAAAGGCAGATAATATGATAACTTATGACCGGCAATAAAAATGTAATCAAGATCCAATTGTTTCTGAGCAGAAAGGGGACATATTACACTATTTTCTGATCTATGTTATAATGTTGTTTCCTCATCAAAAACATACCCAGAGTTATGTTTTGTTTCATTCACACGTTTACACACAAACCCTGCATATTTAGGCTGTTCTCCCCTTGTAGTGTCAAGTAGTAATACAGGAAGTGCTCCACTGTGTTTTTAAACTCCATACACCTTCACTACAATCATTTGGATAATTTCAGACCTGGAATTGTTCATCTCTCTACTGAACTGAAGGTAAAAGGCAGCTGTTAACTTGAAAACTACCACTATATGACATCACAAGGTGGAACAAAGTATTTTGAGCTTTGAAGATGTAGATTAATAATAAAGGATCACTCAAACACATGTGAATGAAACCAAACCCAACTCCAGGTATGTTTTTGATAATATAACAACACTGGTCATGAGCTCTTGGTAATGACCAAAAGAACAAAGTTGTGGATATAAGCGGTTGAAATGAGTTTCCTCCGCAGGGTGGCTGGACGCTCCCTTAGAGATAGGGTGAGGAGCTAAGGTACACAGGAGGAGCTCGGAGTAGAGCTGCTGCTCCTTCACGTCGAGAGGAGCCAGTTGAGGTGGCTTAGGCATATTCCAGATGCCTCCTGCACTGTAAACCCAAATTAGTAATCATTACTAAAACCGTGCGTGGTAAGTGATTGCACTGGGATGTCTAGTTTTTACAACATCAAAAACTAAACAAATCAAGCTCTGTTTACATAAAATCTTCTGTCCAAGATAACCCATTACTAAAGAACTTAAGTTTCTAAAACTAATGTTTACAAGTAATTAACTAACCATTACTTGTGTATTACAGTAATCATGACTTATTTTTATCAGTATGTATTTCTGATATTTATGAGTATTTATTGAATATGTTTATTAATTATAATAATTAGATGCAAATTATACATCATATTATTTTTTAATAATTGACATAAAATGACAATTTTTTTCTCACAAATTTATTGCAAAAATAGTGCAATAATAACAAGCTTAAACCTGAATAAACTGCAGTCTTCTGTTTGTTCCCTGTAACAGCATTTGCTTTTGTGTTTTACATTTCACAATTCAAACAAGGGGTTATAAGGGTTGTCAGCTTGTCCATAACAATTTCACCCTCAATGATGATTTTCAGGCTTGCTGGGGGAAGATCTGGTGTTGGAAGAGAGACACCTTCAGATTTACTAACAAGATCCCAATGTCCATTTGGTGAAAGGATTCATCACCATCCTAAAGAAAAACAAAAAAATTAATGCCAGAAACATAACCATTAGTGAATGAAATTACTGAACTAGAACAGACTCAATAAGAATGACAAAACATAAATTGTATGAAATAAAATTTATGCTGACATGATAACTGATAAATGTTCAAACAAATATTTGAAAATCAATAATAATCTGACTTTAAGATAAATAATATTCATGGAATGGCTGGAGCTCGTAATGTATAGACTACTTGTCAGTTTTGGCATATTCAAATTATACAATAAATGTCACATTCTAAAAGTTTCACATTACAAACAAAATGTACACTTACAAAACGAAAAGAATTCGGTGGGACTGTCTCCGAGTAAGTAAGGAAGACCTCTTAGTGTGACTGTCCTTTTTTCAGTAGAATCCAGTGACTGTAAGACAGAAAATGGATACTGTATGATAAATTAAAAGAAATATACAGAGACGCAAACACTTTTGTAAATATACATTTAACCATTAACATGAACTATGTATTTTAATAAAAATGAATTATCTTTTAATCCATTTTAGATTAACTGTTATGAACTTATGCTTTTACTACACATGTATTTTTATCCGGGTTACAAAAGTTTTACCTGTATTTGCTGCAAAAGCTGTGCCAACTGTCACCCACGTTGCCCCTCTTAGCTTTAAAACTTTCAATAAAATGGGTAGTGTGGTTATCAAGGGCAGAATAAAATTCCTGGTGCAGGTCTTTTCCCACAATCCTTTTGAATTCCAGACAAATCTAAAAAAAAAAAAAAAAAGAAAGAAATTAGTGTTCTGTAGTGTCTGAGGTAGTAACCTCTCTTATCACAGCTGAACTCACAGTATTTACAGCTCCACAGCATGTTGGGTAGTCACCTGTAAAACAGAAAATATGTTTTAGTGTTTAATTCCAGCCAAAGCTTATATGCAATTTTGTGGTGATAAAAACTTGAACTCCAAACTCTCCATTTGCACCCACGATTTTAGATTTTAGAACAATCATATAGCAAACAACGAAAACGAGTCTCGATTTAAAAAAAAGGCGCGGTGCACACGGCGCCCGTGAGAAGTTCTGTGGGTCCATGCGTCGTTAAACCGCCACCCGCCCGAGTTTGATTAAAATAGTATTTTTCGTCGCGTCATCCGCCCGAGCCGCGGTTTAGCCGCGGAGTCCGCCCTCCGCGCATCTCTACCGGGCCGGTAAAGATGCCGGTAGTACCGGCTCAGACACCGTTAACTGTTAGCATTAGCTGTTCTCTGTTAGCGGCTAACAGATGATAGCGAGCGCATCGTGACCACAATTAACTTCACGTTAGCCTTATTTGGCTGCAAGCGTCAACCAATGTCACCAACTATTCAGTGTCACGGGAACATAAACCATATTTATTCACTTACCATATGATGATAAAGCAGACTGACGCTGAATTGCAGCCAACAGTCCGAGCAGAAGTCAGATGTGGTTTGGTGCAGTTTGGGAGTGTTCAGGCGCCACGCCCCTCCCTTCACCGGTAAAAACAAACAAGTGTGAGCCGTCTCCACTCAGAGCCATTAGTACAGCAAATACTAGTTTAAAATAGTTTACAATTCACACTTTGTTTAGTAATGGTCCCGCCTTTTGCAAATATTAAAAAGATTAGTAATATTAGCATGGCTTAATATGTAAAAGAAAATTTGGGTTTACAGTGTGGGCGCCTCCCTTGGGAACTGTTCCGGGCATCATGTCCCACCAGGAGGAGGCCCCATGGAAGACCCAGGACATGCTGGAGGGACTGTGCCTCTTGGCTGGCCTGGGAACAACTCAGGGTCCCCCCCAGAGGAGCTGGAGGAAGTGCCCAGGGTGAAGGAAGTCTGGGAGTCCCTGCTCAGACTGCTGCCCATGTGACCCTGGGGAAGAGACTTTGGAAGAAGAAATTTGACCATGTTTTGTGTTAAATGGTACTAAGTAAAAACTGGTCTAGTTTATGTTCATGCAATCAATATGGGAAGCCATTTTTAAATGTGCTTTTAGTAGAAACACTTAAACAAATCAAAAATCTTGGCTAATTAATACCAGCTCTAAGCAATAAGCTCTAAGAAATCCCCAAGTTTGCTGAATGGAGTAGGCAATATGGGTGTAGTGCCTTGCCAAGGGACACAACAGCAACACCCAGATGGGCAAGGTTGTTTCAGTGGCCAAAAATCAGAAAATGAAATCTATTGACCCAAGTTTTCTCTCACCAATTACTAAATGCATTTTTATATAACACAAAATCTTTCAGTTTAAGTAATCCAGCCTATTCCTGGTCCTCCACCTTCTGGCCTTCTGAGCCCATCACCCCATCTCATCCTCACGTTTAATCCTTTTTTACTTCCATGGAGAAATAAAGTGATTAAATGTACTCTCCCCTTGGGTGTGTTTCATTGTATGCAGTCGGCCATCTTCCATGTTTTCTTTTGTAAACCTAACAAGTTTCAAATTGCATACACTGTTGCTCTGAATATCTTGGCTGGACACAAAACACCCAAACAAAAAGGACATTTTGGTGCCAGTTTCAGGTTGTAAACAGTTGTGGTTTATTTATTTCTCTTTGTTCATTGATGAAGTGGTGTGTTCAAGTGTGGGTGAAAATCTGTGGATTGACCTTCTGTCTCATTGAAAGTAAAGGGCAATAAAAGTGAAGTCACCCTCTTAATGTATTCTCAAAGGGTTTGGTTCACATTTTAGAGTGGTTTGCAGTCATACTCTCAAATGGAGGGCAAGAGTCTGTGTGTCTTTGGGAGATTTAGTGTTTTTGGAAGGAATATTGTAACTCATCCTCAAATCTTTCTTTGTAGAGATCAGCTCCAAAACTTGCTGTATTTATCTAATAGTTCAAAGTCCATTTCAACTGACAACACTGTTAGGGCTAGAATAATGGCAATAAAAAATGATTTGACTCCTGTTTATTTATGTTTGAAGAAGATTAATGAGCCTAGTGCCATTTTTGAGGTTGTATAAAGATGCATAAAGACTGTAAACCAAAATCATATACGCTGATTTCTAACTCTGCTTAAACTAAGGCTTAAAGGTCCTATATTTCAGAAAATTTACTCTTTTAATAATGTTATAATGTTGTTTCCTCCTTAAAAACATATCAGGAGTTCTGGTAAGTGTAACAGCTACCTTTTACCTTTTGGTCAGTACTGATCAGTAAATCTAGGGCTTGAATTATCCAAGTGGTTCCAGTGAAGGTGTATGGACTTTAAAAACACAGTGGAGCAGTTTTTGTGTGTTAAACAGGTGTGAATGAAACTTCCAGGTATGTTTGTGATGTGGAATAGCATAATAATATAGGCCCTTTAAGAATGTGCAATAAGTTAACAAAAATAGACTTCAGATTCCAAACCAAAAAGGGAAAATTTCTTGTATTCTTTTTCCATATTATTGTAAAAGACAATGAGACTAAATTCATTATAACAACAATACTGCATGTCACTTCCACATTCTCTTTCCCACTTGTGCTGAAGCGGGTCCCACTCGTGCTCTATTGTCTTCTTCTGTCTGAGCTGTCTCTGGTGTTGTCTGAACAGCTCTGCTCTCCGCTGCCCCCATTAGCCCACAGTCTGGAGGAGGCATTTCACTGGGTTACATGGCACCTCTCTGCAATTAAGCACCTGGCTCATTGTTCACTGCTGCTGTTCTCAGTGAAGGCTCAAAGTCTCACACATTTACACTGCAATACTTTGTTAGTAGACAGGCCTTGGCAAAACAACAACACAATGCAGTTCTTTTTATAACGGTACGGAGCTTGTCGTCTTGCCCGGGATCTGGTGTACGCACTTCTCCAATTCTCCGGTACGATGATGTGAGTCGGGTCAGTGATGAATCTCCTCAAGTTCAGATGATTGTCAATCAGAATCACACATGGTCCATTTGTATCAAAACAAATACGGTGAGATGTGCTGGTTGCCAATCCGTGTATCATTCATTCCTTTGTTTTTCAAAATAAAACCAAAAATAAGTAAATGAAAAAACAACTATTTTCATAATTATTTGTCTCTAAAACCGAAATGAAAAAAGGGATATCGATTTTGTGTTTAAATGAATACTAGGAAAAATGAATAACGGCTGTTTCCCACTTCCGTGACTTAAACTGCAAAAAAATAAATAAAAAATAAAAAATTGCGCCACATACGGACTGAACCAGGACTTAACCAGATCTGATCCCAGGACTGAACCAGGACCAAAACAGAACTAAACCAGGACTAAACCAGGTCTCAGTCCTGGTCTCAGTCCCGGCCTCAGTCCTGGTCTGGTCCCGGTCTCAGTCCCAGTCTGGTCCCGGTCTCAGTCCCGGCCTGAGTCCCGTTCTCAGTACTGATCACCTTGTTCAGTCCTGGTTCAGTCCTGGTTTAGTCCTGGTTTAGACCTGTTTTAGTCCTGTTTTAGTCTTGGTTCAATCCGCAAAAACCGCCATCGCAGTTTAAGTCACAAAAACGAGAAACAGCTCTTATCTGTTTTTTCCAGTTATTCACTTAAACACAAAATCAAAAACTGAAAAACAAATCGTTATCTGTTTTATCATTTTGGTTTTGGAAACAAATAATTAAGAAAATAATTGTTTTTGTTACCTTATTTTTGGTTTTATTTTTAACAAATGATACACGGTTGTTGCCATTCTGTACCAGCGGTTTCAGACTTCCACCAGTCATCACTTATTCACAGAACACATTGTATAACAGCGGCTGAAGTGTCTTGCCCAAGGACACGTCAGCAGAATGCATTGGCTGCAGCTGGGATTGAACAACCCCTTCATATATAAGACCAGTGACCACTCTACCACCTGCAATATCTTTCCAATTCATTCTGTTCTGCCCATGATAAAAGCTTGTATTGCGCATCATTGCCATATGGATCTAAAGATGCACTGTGTAACTTTTCTGGTCTTCATGGAGATGTTATAACTTAGCCTGCTATGTTCCACAATATGGTATTAAAGTTATCTATCTTCAAAGAGACAATTACTCCATCAGGGCAAGTTACTGGAGACAAGTTACTGGACATTTTCTTTGCAGGCGGCACATACCTCAGGAGAAAAGTCACATAATAGGCCTTGAAAGGACTGAACAAAATGTCTCCAAAGTCAATTTAAAGGCTGAATGTGGTAAATATATTGGATAAATAGTCTTGAACCATGACACCTCCGGGTTTTGTGAGAAAGTGCCAGTTTGATTTTAGTCATTATAGTGTTATAATTGAATTAGGAGGGGGCGGTTTGTGAAGGAAAATGAGCCAAAAACACTCAAGAAACAGGACAATTTACAGAGTTACGCTTTGATGCACATCGAATGAATGTCATGATGAAGTTACTTATTAACAAATAATTACTTTGTGAGCTGCGGCATCCACTCTAATGGAAATGGTGCATGCTGTGAGAGGAAATGGTAATCAAAAATCTAGTGTAACTTGAGATTGGAAAAGCAAATTAAACTTTCATCCACACCATTAAGTGACAAAACTACTAATCGTGGCTATAAGTGTCACCCTCTTTTTACTAAACACCTTTTACTTTAATATTTAATTGCAGTTTTATTTTAAAGTTGCACGCCAACTGCTTGCCCCCGTGGAGATGTTATTGCTTTGTTTTAAGTATCATATGGTATTAAAGGGTCCATATTTCACTATTTTCTTATCATAATAGTCCAATGGGGTTCATTTGGCCTTCTGATAATTTATGTTAAACCCAGGCAATTACTCGTCCACCCAAGAGATAAAATAGGACCGGCGCAAAAATGTAATGTTATATATGAAATACCCTGCATGTCCTGCAATAAAACATACATTGGGGGGCAGGGGGGGCGTTCAGTACANAGTTTGGAGCGGTAGTTGCCAAGCTTACACTTAATACTTTTGTCCCATCCGGCGTATCCTGAGCCACTTCCAGGTTCCTTTAGGCAGGGATACTTGACAACCAGTTCAGCTGCAACAGAAGCTATTTCGTTCTTCTCAGGATAGGCTTTGATAGAAAATATTTGCTGTGCCAACTTGTCCAGTATTTCCATCTTGATGTCTCTTGTTACATCCAACCCAACACCAGTTTTTTCATACACTTCATTACCTTTGCAAAGTTTCAATTCAATGTCATAAGAAAACGAAGGGATTGGAAATGGGTGTGGCCACTGTGAGGTGCTGCGCATGTAGTTCCGAATGACTGATGATGGGCTGTAAGGAGAGTCTGATGAATGGAGGCTGGCTGTGTCAAGCGATGAGATGGACCCAATTTCTGATGGAGATTGTGGTTGAGGAGGTGTTTGTGGCTGAGATGCGGATGAACCATCACTCCAAACGAGGTGCAGGACTGCTCGTTCTGTGGCTAGCTCACTGATGTCCATCAAGTTACAAAGTGCATTGTCAAAATCAGGATCCTCGTATTGTATTGTGAATTCCTCCTCAAGTCCCAGCTTTTCCTTGAGTTCATCTTGAAGATGCTTTACAGATTCTGGTACAGTGGTCAAGCTTGATCCTTGATGAGTTTTGTATTGATGTTGACTCGCAAT